GTGATCATGGTTTACCTCAAAGCTTGAAAACTCAGAAAATGGGAGTGATTTGTAGCTTCCAACACAGCTCCACAACACTGACTTCACAAGACCACGAATTACACACACAAGCTTGGTCCTTTATCACTAAAAATGGCTTCTTGAAGCCATTACACCTCAAGAAAATGGCTCATACCTCCACACTCAAGAAGTCAGCCCCAACCTCACCAACTCAGAAGCTCGCACTCAGCTATGAAGCACCCAACACCCTCACATGACCAACCCACACAAGGCTATGATGTTTAGATGAGGAAACATGGACAATAGGTGATCGCTTTGACTCACAAAATGAAGAGGAAAAGGTGACAAGTTGGAGGAACCAATATCAGAAAGAGAGGCACAATGGAGGCACATAGGAATGCTAATAATCAGCCTAGGGTTTAGTGCCACCCACTGTATATAGTTCGCTTAAGTTTAAACCTACTGTATTAGCACTAATAGCTCCGCTAACTTTAGATTCTTAACCTAACCATTTTTCTAGGAATTGTCATATTTTTATTTTATTTTTCGCAGTACCTTGCCAGTATGTGCTTTTACATAGCCGGTATCAGTCCTGACGTCAGTTCTCATTATTTTGACTCCAAACTTGTTATACTAGTCCTAGATATTATTCTACTAATATATACATACTTTTTATAATTTTTTGAAATACTTCACCGGTACGCATTTATACCGTGAAGCAGAAACGATATTTACACTTTTCGTCGGAAAAACAACTTTCAACATTATTAAGTCCTTATAATAATTATTCAAGTCTTCTAATAATTATTCTAGGCAAATTATATAATCATTTCACAAATTTATATTTAATTACTTAAATTCCTAATTTAACGGTGCAGGTTCTTACATTCACCCCACCGTTTAAGAATTTTGTTCGCCAAATTAGAAACATATCTGTTCTGAAACTCGGGATATTGCCGGAGAAGCATGTCCTCTCGCTCCAAGTGCACTCTTCAGGAGTTCTTGCTGTCCACTAGACTTTGACCATCGGAATGATCTTGCTCCTAAGCTTCTTCTCGCCTCGATCAAGAATCTTGAGTGGTCCAATGGGAGTCTTTAAGCTCTCCCGAACCTACACATCATCAAGTTGCACCACGTGCGAAGGATCCGCTATATACCTCTGAAGCTGAGACACGTGAAACACGTCGTGGATGTTGGCCAAGTTCGGAGGAAATGCAAGCCGGTAGGCAACAGGTCTTTCCCTACCAAGAATCTGGTATGGCCCTATGAATCTCGGGCTCAGCTTCCTCACCCCGAGGGCCCGACCAACACCGGTGACAGGTGAAAGTCTCAAAAACACGTGCTTACCCTCACTGAACTCCAGTTGCCGATGCATGACATCGTAATAACTCTTCTGGCAATTCTGCGCCTGCTTTATCTTCTCTCTGATCATCTGGATCTGCTGGGTGGTATCCTGGACAAAGTTGAAGCCAAATAATTCTATCTCCAACCTCAGACCAACAGGTAGGAGTCTGACGCCTTCTACCATACAACGCCTCGTAGGGTGTCATGCCCAGACTAGCATGAAAACTGTTGTTGTATGAAAACTCCACCAACGATAGGAACCGATCCCATGTCGAGCCCTGCTCCAAAGTGCAAGCCCTCAACATGTCCTCCAATGTCTGGATGGTCCGTGTAACGCCCGGCCACTTGCAAGCATCAACGACTATCCCCACACACTAACACGAGACTTTTAAGCGTGCTTTGTCCTCACTTGCACATTTTTCGAGAAAAATTTCCAGGAGGTCACTCATCCCTGAATTGCTCCAAGTCAAGCACGCTTAACTATGGAGTTCTTCCGATCCAGGCTACCGAAAAGTAGATGCATCTTGTTAGTATAGGTAGTACCAATTAATTCTTATAAGCTATCCTCAGCTGTGCTGTCCTATACCAGCACAATCTCTGGAATCTCTCTTTTTTCGGTGTTATTCGATTCATTCATGTACCCCTGTCGCTGGAAGCCTGCCAGGAGCCGCTCCTTGTCCGTGCCCTTGCGCACCGGCGATCACTCCCCACCCTCGTCAGCGCCCGGGATGTTACATGCCCACCAGCTTCCGCCTGGTTCGTCCTCGAACCACACCTACTGGAAGAGAGGCCCTGCTCTGATACCACTTGTAACGCTCGGCCACTTGCAAGCATCAACGACTATCCCCACACACTAACACGAGACTTTTCAGCGTGTTTTGTCCTCACTTGCAAACTTCCCGAGAAAACTTCCCAGGAGGTCACCCATCCCTGAATTGCTCCAAGTCAAGCATGCTTAACTGTGGAGTTTTTCCTATCCAGGCTACCGAAAAGTAGATGCATCTTGTTAGTATAGGTAGTACCAATTAATTCTTATAAGCTATCCTCAGTTGTGCTGTCCTATACCAGCACAATCTCTGGAATCTCTCTCTTTCCGGTGTTATTTGATTCATTCATGTACCCCCGTCTTTGGAAGCCTCCCAGGAGTCGCTTCATATCCGTGCCCTTGCGCACCGGCAATCACTCCCCGCCCTCGTCAGCGCCCGGGATGTTACAGTTCGCTCAGTCTGTCCATCAGTCTGAGGGTGATAGGTTGTACTCAATCTCAACTGAGTACCAAAAGCTCCCTGCAGCGCCTCCCAGAATCGAAATGTGAACTTCGAGTCCCTATCACTAATGATACTCTCGGGCATCCCGTGAAGCCTCACAATCTCGCGAATATAAAGCTTGGCCAACTGCTCTATAGTGAAGCTCACCTTTACCGGAAGAAAATGGGCAGACTTAGTCAATCTGTCCACTATGACTCATATCGAGTCACAACCAGCCTGAGTCTTAGGCAGTCCCACTACGAAGTCCATGGAAATGCTCTCCCATTTCCACTGCGGTATCTCAAGAGGTTGAAGCTTACTAGACGGTTTCTGGTGTTCAATCTTCACTTTTTGGCAAATTAAACACTTGGACACGTACACAGCTATATCTTTCTTCATGCCCGGCCACCAGAAGTTCCTCTTCAGGTCATGATACATCTTTGTAGCCCTAGGGTGGACAGTGAATTGGTCCTTATGGGCCTCTGTCATCACCTCCTCGTTCAATGGACCTCGAGGAATCGCTATCCTCTTCTAGATTGTCAATAAACCATCTTCGTTCCATGACACATCATCTTGGTTCCTAACATAATCAAGGCACTCTCTCTGCACTTGCTCCTCTTTGATCTTTTCCTTTAACTTATTTTCAACTCTGACGGTCTCCATCTCGAGAAGTGCACCCCCAAATAAAGAGGTCACTATCAAATCCTGAAACTTTTCAATTATATCATAGTCACCCATCATCAGACTAGCTAAGCTAACGAATTTTTGACTCAAAGCATCCGCTACCACATTGGCCTTGCCAGGATGGTACTTCAACTCAAAGTCGTAGTCCTTCAGAAACTCCATCCATCTCCTTTTTCTCATGTTCATCTCCTTCTGGTCAAACAGATACTTCAAACTCTTGTGGTCACTGAACACGACAAACTTCATGCCAAACAGATAATGCCTCCAAATCTTGAAAGCAAAAAACAATCGCCGCCAACTCGAAATCATGAGTCGGGTAGTTCTCCTAATGAGGCTTCCACTGCCTCGAAGCATATGCAATGACTCTGCCTGTCTGCCTCAGCACACAGCCCAGCCCCTTTCCGGAGGCGTCACAATACAACTGAATCTGCTCCGTAGGATCAGAAAGGACCAACGCTGGTGTAGTTGTCAATCTCTCCTTCAACTCCTGAAAGCATTCCTCACACTCGTGAGTCCAAACAAATGGAGTCTCCTTATGGGTAAGGTAAGTCAATGGAAAAACCATCTTGGAGAATCCCTCAATGAACCTCCTATATTACCCAGCCAAACCCAAGAAGTTCCTCACTTCTGTAACCGGTCTTGGGTCTCTCCCAATCCATTACTGCTTCAATCTTGTTGGGATCCACTAGAACTCCCTCAACAGAAATCACATGCCCAAGGAACTTCACTGACTAGTGTCAAAACTCATACTTCGAAGGCTTAACATAAAGCTTTTTTTTTCCTTCAGCACCTACAACACAATCTTCAAGTGCTCCGCATGCTCCTCCTCTGTCTTGGAGTATATCAGAATATCTTCAATGAAGACGATCACAAAGCGGTACAAGTAGGGCTGAAAAATACGGTTCATATAATCCATGAACACTGTCGGTGCATTGGTGAGTCCAAACGGGATCACCAAATACTCATAGTGACCGTATCTCGAACGAAACGCGGTCGTAGGGACATCCTCCAGTTTGACCCGAATCTGATGGTATCCAGACCGGAGATCCATCTTCGAGTACACGCAAGCATCCCTAAGTTGATCCAATAGATCATCAATACGAGGGAGGGAATACTTGTTCTTGATTGTCACCTTGTTCAACTGTCTGTAGTCGGGGCACAATCGCATAGTCCCATATTTCTTTTCACAAAAATGGCTGGTGCTCTCCATGGAGACACGCTCAGTCGAATGAAGTCTTTCGCCGAAAGATCCTCAATATTCTTCTTCGGTTCTGCCAACTCTGATGGAGACATCTGGTATAGAGCTAATAAAATAGGTCCCACACCAAGCAACAAATCAATGGAGAACTTTATCTCTCGTTGTGGCGAAAACTTAGGAATCTCCTCAGGAAACACCTCGAGGAATTCCCTCACCACAGGAATGCCGGTAATATCCTCCTATGTCCCACTCACCAAACCTCCAAACATGACATATCCAAATGTCCCTGCTCTTAAGGCTCTCATAGCCTGCAGCACTGAAATATAAGGCGAGGAAATGGCAGTGGAATCACACGGAGACAGCACCACGCGCTTAGCACAACAATCAATCATCACACAATTCTTGGACAACCAGTCCATGCCAAGGATGATCTCTAAATTTGTCATCGACAATTTTATCAGATCTACTGAATACACAAGGCCATCCCACTGAAATGCTACATCGCGATGTACAGAGGAAGTATCACACTATTCTCCGGTAGCAGTAGTCTCCCGCAACGGTGAAGAAAGCACAAAAATGGATAACTCAAGTCCCACAACAATCGGGGTCGTGATGAAAGAATATGTAGCCCCAGAATCAAATAACACATCAACAGCATAACCACCAATAGAAACGGTACCTCTCACAAGGTTTGAAGCTCTGTCCGACTGCTGCATATCCAATGTGTAAACTCGGCCAGTGGCAAGTGGCACAACAGGTGCCGCTGTAGGTGGAGCAGGAATCATCTGAAGATGAGCCGCCTGAGTTGCTGCAGCCCTAGCAACAGATGTATAACAATCCTTGGCCACATGGCCACTCTTTCCACACTTGTAGCATAGCAACTCTCCAGTAGCACAACGTCCCAAATGCTCCTTTCCGCATCCCGTACATCTAGGAGTGGAAGGAGGTCTAGCAAAGCTTCCCTGCGGTGTAGAGGTCCTTTTAATCTTGTTGAATGGTTGTCTGGCTTGCAACTGTTTTCCCTTGCCATTGCCATCAAACCACTTATTCTTCCCCTGATAGGAACCACTGATTACTCTCTCATCAGATATCTTAGACTTTTTGGCTTTGCTGATTATACACACCTCCTCTATGTCACGACACTGCTGTATTAAAGTGCCAAAATCTCTGGATGTAGCTCCAGCAATTCTATCTACGGTCTCCTCATTAAGTCCCCTACGAAACTTAGCAACCATAAACATCGGCATAGGCATATAAATGTGAAAATGTGCAAATATGGCCAGTTCATTGAACCTAGCCAAGTACTCATCAACCGTCATCGAGCCCTGCACCAACTGATCAAACTCTCCTTGTTTCCTCTCCCGCGCATCATAGGGAAAATACCTCCCCAAAAAACACTCCTCAAAGAATGGACATGTGATAACATGACCCTGCAACTCATAGACTTGAGAGGTGTTCGTCCACCACTCATGACCATCTCCCTCCAGCATGTAGGTGGCAAACATCCGCTTATAGGGGTCTGTACACTGCATCACCCTGAATATCTTATCCAGGGCCTAAAGCCATCTAGCCGTAAAAATTGTATCGTAGGATCCATCAAAAGAAGGTGGTTTATGCTTGCAGAAAGCATTCAGCTGGCGATCAATAGTATCGTTGTCCTCTGCGGGATCAAAGTAAGGTTGCATCATCCCGGTAAGATGATTGAAACCCTCCATATGACTATGACTGTCATCCTGATGACTGGGTGGAGGCGGCGGTGACGGTTGAGGTGGTGGCGGAGGATGCTGACCACCAGTAGGACCAGTCCTCATCTCCTCCAATATGACCCTCATCATGGTCATGTTCGTCAGGCGGTTTGCCTCCAGCACGTCCCCAGTGGCTTTCGTGTTCGCCTCTCTGACGGCGTCCAGTATAGCCTGGTTAGCCACTCTCATGGCCTCCTGGTCGGCTTGTCGAACCTCCTACATCTCTGCTAATACAGCTAGGACCGGGTCGGGTTGACCCTCATTCGTATCTCGGTTCCTCCGAGGTAGTACCATGACTCTGCACAAGTTACACAAAGAATGAGTTGATCAGGCCCACGCAATGTGCTCACACATGCATCATCATAGCAAAACCCAAAAGAGAAACACAACAGACCAAAACACACAGTAAAGCATCCTAAGTTATTGCAATACATACAGACTTTTCCCTAGAAAGTGCAATATTAAGCGCAACTCAATTAAATGCGGAAGCTAACTTTTTCCTTTCAATTATGACGTCATTATTATTAACCAAGTTGATTACTTAATCCTTTTTAAAATATTTCTTGTATGTAAATTGCAATAAAAGCTAAGTGAATAACCTCATTAAACAAGTGTGTATCTAGTCACGGAACTATAACACGTAGATCAGACAGAATCCTGATACATTATATAACTCAAGTCTAATCAAAACATAGTCAAGTTAATGTGGCATGGACAACCCCCATGCTCACCCAATAAGACAACAAAGCTCAACAAAGTCTCCACTCAATAACAGTATAATGACAATAAAACATAATCAGCATCCAAGTATATCAGCATAAATACGCATGCATCAGTCAACTAAGCTCTGGCCTCCTGCCGCCCGAGGTATTAACCCTCGAGGTACCTGAACCTGAAAAATGTGTCCCAAACATAGGGTGAGATCTCTAAAAAGAAATCTCAGTAAGCCAAGGGGACCTCCAGGACTCTTCCGCCCCAAGCTCACTTATAAGTATAAATATAAGTTCGAAAACAGTAATTACAATGCATGTTCATGTTAAGGCATTTAATCATGACAACATATTTCTTTCTCAACGAGCCAAGTACTACAACTCATTAATCATGTGATGTATGCAAATGCGGTTCGACTGGCCAGGGAACATGATAAGGTTTATGCACGTCTGCTACCTACCAAACATGAGGGATGCTGCCTCATGCCTTGCACATCAGCGTTGCTGCCTGATCGTACAAGTACTAACATCACTTCATACATTAGATCAATAGTTATATCAACATATATCAGGCATATATCAATGCATATATCATTTTTTTATAAAAGCATACTTGCATATAAACCACCCTCCCATGGAGGTCGGTGGAACAAGCCACAGATCAATCTGAGGACACGAGTGCTTACCTCGCAAGCTAACAATCCAAGCCAAAGTCCACACTAGCCCAAGGTCCACAAACAACTCCCTCACAGTCTGTTTGTAACAAAAATAATCATTATTATTCATAGCCCAATGTTTTACTAAGTGTTTAAGGCTTTCCAACTTGTTTTAAGTAATTTTAGGTTGTTTCTGCAAGAGGTATTCGAATACTCCTCGATGAGTATCCGAATACTCCAAATCTCCATAAAGTATCTGAATACTTTCACTAAGGTATTCAAATACCACACGGTATCCGAATACTTTCACCATAGTATTCGAATACTTCCACCAAGGTATCTGAATACTTTTATTTCCAGAAAAGTATCCCAATACTCCTTCAAGAGTATTCGACTACCTGCTAATGAGTATTCGAATACTCCACGGAAAGATTTTGAATACTTATCAGACAGAATGCAGAAACTCAAGCAGTTTTCTGCATAACACTATTTTTAAAGGTCCAAACGATTTGGAGTCCAATAACTCCATAAACAGATGTTCATTTATACATTTTAAACATATATTATCAGCCTTTAACTCAAATGATCAAAGTTACTCTTTTGAATGACATAGGCAAGCTCAAATCATGAATATTCAAAGGAGGTGATCATGGTTTAGCTTGAAAACTCAGAAAATGGGAGTGATTTGTAGCTTTCAACACAGCTCCACAACACTGACTTGACAAGACCACGAATTACACACACAAGCTTGGGCCTTCATCACTAAAAATGTCTTCTTGAAGCCATTACACCTCAAGAAAATGGCTCATACCTCCACACTCAAGAAGTCAGCCCCCACCTCACCAAATCAGAAGCTCACACTCAGCTATGAAGCACCCAACACTCTCACAAGACCAACTCACACAAGGCTATGATGTTTAGATGAAGAAACATGGACAAAAGGTGATCGCTTTGACTCACAAAATGAAGAGGAGAAGGTGACAAGTTGGAGAACACCAATATCAGAAAGGGAGGCACAAAGGAGGCACGTAGGAATGCTTAAAATCAGCCTAGGGTTTAGTACCACCCATTATATATAGTCCGCTTAAGTTTAAACCTACTGTATTATCACTAATAGCTCCGCTTATTATTTTAATCCCAAACCTTAGATTCTTAACCTAGCCATTTTTGTAGGATTTGTCATATTTTTATTTTATTTTTCGCAGCACCTTGCCGGTACGCGCTTTTACGTAGCCGGTATCAGTCCTAGCGTTAGTTCTCATTATTTTGACTCCAAACTTGTTATACTAGTCCTAGATATTATTCTAGTAATATATACATACTTTTTATAATTTTCTGGGATACTTCACCGGTACGCATTTATACCGTGAAGCAGAACCGGTATCTGCACTTTTCGTCGGAAAAACGACTTTCAACATTATTAAGCCCTTATAATAATTATTCAAGTCTTTTCATAGTTATTCTAGGCCAATTATGGAATTATTTCACAAATTCATATTTAATTACTTAAATTCCTAATTTTACGGTGCGAGTTCTTACACTTCTCCCGAATCTGAGATTTTGGATCTTTGGAAGACCTCGAATTGAAGAAGAAAAGCAAGACGTGTTATTGGGGGGAGATCAAGAAGGTGGAGGTAGAGCGATGTCATCATCTCATCTTTCTAACCGAGGACATGGTCAAAGCATCACCCATAACCCAAGGATTTTAACAAAGTCTAGCAACTGTAGTATAGGCCAAACATCCTCCTCAGCTCTTCTAGCCCACAATCCAACCATTGGCCCCTCCTCTACTGGTGTTCCTCAAAAAACCACCACCTGCAACCTAGTCAATAGAAACTCGGATCCTTGCTATAATTGTGTGTACCTTAGTGCTCAATTTATTGAGAAGGGAAATGATTTTATTGTTGACCTTGTTTTAGGTAGTTGCACCCATCAACCAAATCTACCAGCTCAGGTTCCCTTGGTTATCTCATATGACTCCTCAAGCCCTTCACATAGTAATTTATTTAGTTCATGTACATGCATTTCCTATTTTAATCTTCCCAAGTTATTGTTCTAGGTATTTATGGAGTCACATTCTGTAGTTTTAGATGCCGGGGTAACCTCCACTAGCCAAGGATCAAACGCCAATGTAACCCCTGCTGAACAGGGCTTCGTCCTTCCTAGTAGTGACCTTCAAAAATAATTTCCCTGGGTAACTGAAGAATTTTTTAGCTTCAGGTCAAGCCTGAAAACTGAAGATGTCTTCGGGCTTCCTATTGGCAACCTAGTTTGATTTAATGCCTTTCCACCGACAGAATATGAGCCTGTTTACTCAGAACGAAATCCTGAAGAACCGTCTTCTTTTTTCTTCTACCGAGTTCTGATTACCAAGATTGGCATCAGATTTCCTTTTTCAGAGTTTCAAATACAAATCATGAGTCTCCTCCATCTTGCTCCTTCTCAGATTCATCCAAATGGATAGGCTTATATAGTTGCCTTCGAGAAGCTATGCTCATCCTTGTGACTATCTTGCATTGTTCCTCTTTTTCTTTAATTTTTTAACATATACACTCCCCGATCTGGTTTCGAAGCTCCCAAATTCAAAGGGTGGACCTGTATCCATGGTCGTGCCAGCAACCTTTCTCGGAAGCTATTTTCTGTTTGTGGTGACTTCTTCAAGGGCTCTTATTTTAAATTAGTAGGAGAGCGTCCCTGGTCTGTTGGTGAGGACGGGGAAGGAAGATTTCCACTTTATTGGTCCCAAGAGCATCATCTTCTTAGGTCAACTGACTTTAAATTGAGGCTATCTAAGGAAGATAAATTCACTGCCAAAGCTTTGTTAGACCATGTAAATTCCCAAGGCAATCTTAGCGCGACTTCTTTTGTAGTCAGGGCACAGACCGGCTCAAAGAAAACTAGTATGTGTAGTTGTTTTTTCTTAATATTGTGTGTTTTATCCAATATTTTCTCAATTTACTCATATATTTTTTCATCGCAGATCCAGAAATGGAGGAGGAGCCAGAGTATATGCTAGCTTTGCAAGGAAAATCATCCTTTCATCCCAACCATGCTGCCAAACGACAGAAAACTTTTGGAGCCTTTGCTGCCACCACATTTGTTGTCCCAGCTGTTACTCCTACTGTATCAGTGATGGATCTTATAGATGAACCCGACAACTTGTTGGAATCCAATTTTATAACACCTCGCAGTTTTAAAACACTTAATT